CCCCCTATAACTCTAACCCCCTGTAACCCTAACCCTCTATAACCCTAACCCCCTATATCCCTAACCCCCTCTAACCCTAACACACCCTATAACCCTCTATAACCAACTCACCCTATAACCGTCTCTAACCGTGTCTAACCCTCTCTAACCCTAACACACTCTATAACTCTAACACACTCTATAACCCTAATACCCTCTATAACTCTAACACACTCTATAACCGTCTATAACCATAACAACCTCTATAACCCTAACACAACTCTATAACCTTCTATAACCCACTCACCCTTAACCTTTTATTACCCTCTATAACCCAATCACCCTATAACCCTCTATACCCCTCTATAACCCAATCACCTTGACCCATACACCCTAACACCGCCTCTCACCCAAACACCCTAACACCCTAACACCCTCTATAACCCAAATACCCTATTGTGTGACAATTATATTACTTGTATTCAGTATAGTATTAGATAACTTCTAGCTAGGTGTCAACATTCGACACTGGCATGATTTCATTATTCAAACAAGCCACAATCTTTGGCTCTTATTATTAAACTTACTAAGTTCAGGTGATTGATTTTTTGTTCATTGATATTTTTAAATTATCACCTAATTTAATGAACAAGCAGAATGCCGCCATAGTGGCGAGCCCAAGACGTGAAGTGAAGTGACAAGGGACAATCTAACATGTCACATTCATTTATTAAGAATCCCGATTCGTTTATATAGTCGGTGTACTAACAATTATATTATATTATGGTTTTGCTCAGAATATTTTCTATCGGTCATTTTGTTCATTTGGGAAAATGTGCTTTCTAAGGGCTTAGTAAGGTTTTAAAGATTTCCTAATATTTCGACATTTAAAAGTTTTGCTAGATTTGTCTTTCACTTATTAAAGGGGGTTTTCTGTTTTTCTGTTTACTGTTGTTTAACAAGACCTTTTAAGGTAATTGTTTCCCTTACTTAAGCAGTGTTATTTCGGGTTGCTGTTACCTACTTCATAAAAGAGGACCCCTCTAGTATTGTGACTGAGTGTTCTACCTTCAAGATCAACCGTGTTTTGTTTCTTTTAAGTCTTAAACATTTTACTCGTGAGGTGCTGTTGTGATACAAAAAAACAAACCCATTTAGGCCAAACGATTGGTTACCGAGACTCGTGGAGCAAGTGCTGGAGATGAAGGGAAACGACTGAGGAAATGGCTCTTGAGAGAATACGTTACAGAGATTTATGGAACCTGGAGCCTTGATCCAAGTATTCCTTATTATTACGTGTGAACTCTCCGTCTCTCCTGCCTATTCTCCGCCGCTGCTTTCTCTCTCTCTCTCTCTCTCTCTCTCTCTCTCTCTCTCT